TATCATGATCATATATCATGAAAAGTGAGCTCTTTGGGAACTTTGAATTGATATCATCTTTAGGAAGGAACCGTTTTACCCTCCACTAATCCCAATCTCATTCCCGCCCTACGCAGGATAGAATAGAATAGGTTCGCAAAAAAACACCGCCAATCAATCAATGAGAGTCAAAAGAAGAGAAAAATATCCAAAAAAAAAATTAAAATTTGGGCTTAGTGAGACTTCAACTCACATCACCCGCACTTTCGGAAGAGTTTCGGAACGTACACACGCCCTACCCTCCCCGAACACTCAACTTACCAAGGTACTCAAAGGGAGTCAGTCACACTTCCAAGAGTGTATTCTACCATTGAACTATATGCCCTATTTGTTTATATATTTGTATTTGGAAGTGACTTGCTGAGCGATACTTGGATTAAATTGGTCTTGGGTAGGTGTGCTTTGGAAGTGGGGAGAAGGTCTTGTTAGGAAGGAGCGCTGTGAATTTTGCGGAAAGAGGTATCCTCGAGAATATACGTGACGCTGATTTCTAGATTCATCCGGAGAGGTTATAGACTGATTGAATGTTCTGATTTTCTTGGAAATTGAGGGAGGATGGTAACACAACAGAATGAAGCGAAAAAGGGGTCGCCAAATAGACGAGTGTTGTACCAACATTGTTACATTGTCAAGGGAATAGATCCTGTTTTCCGCGGAATAACTAGTCAGTATGCCTCCATCGAATTGCTAACATGAGGAAACATCGTGACATGCCCAATATCGAGAATAATAACCGTATCACAAGTACTTTTTATCTTTGTAATACTTCTACCTCTCTTCGCGTATCTCAACAACCTTCGAATCTTGAATATGAATGTTAAAATTATGTGTTTATGGCCCTATTTTTAGCAACTAATTCTAAACCTTCTATGCTACTGAAGATGGATAGACCCAAACTATGGTTTCATACACTCATTGTAGCTGAGATAGTTTGACTTCCTTTAGTCACAGTGGGATGAACCAATTTCTGATATCTCCTTGCAACAACATACTTTATAGTATGCATCTCACCTATTTATCATATATTCTGTTGCTTGCTTGGTGCTTGCTCTCGATATAGTATATGATACCGTGAAACCATTAATCATATGATGGAATCAAAATCAAGATTAGAGTTATCGAGATTTTGAATTTCCCCCCTTTTCCTAGTACACATTCTCCCACCACTTACTGTTATATTCTCTTATATTTAATTGACTTTCCCCGAAGCATAGAATGTTTTCTTGTTAAACAGATTTATCAATTAGGAAATGTTTTCTTAAACAATTAATAGGGTGTGGCATGGAAATGATGAGGCGGGGAAAGATTCGCCTACCCCCCTTAACGGAAAGAAACAGAGGAAAGAATCTATCACAACCTCAAAAAAGAAGACTATTCAAAGCAATTAAAAGTATAATGGATGGATAGAATCAAACTATCGTTGCTTATATGTATGGAAAGGCTTGGGAGCCTGCTTCGTTGCAGAAAAAAAAAAAAAAGAAGTGGCATCCACCCACATTATATGACTGAAGTCTAACCACATCATTTGGTTTGATCTGGTTTGATTTTCTAAACAAAATTAATTTTATTGAACTCTGTTTCTAACAGATATGCAACAAAACTTTTGAACTCTTTTGTGCATGTGACGTTAAGGCTTTGATTGGTGTCCCGGATCCGGGTTAACTTCGGGCCGAGATGGAAATAACCCCTGTGACTTTTGTATTCTATGTCTGGAGACTGGTGGTATATACCACAAGACCAGGTAAGAATTGGAAGAACAAAACTGCCCAGAGCCCATGCAGTTCCTCGCATCCCCCTCGCATCCCCCTCCCCCTCCCCCTCCCCCTCCCCTCCCCAAGGCCATTCCCCCCCTCACGAAAAGTAGTAAACTTAGAAAGGGCAAAAGCAATATAGGAATGGATGGGTTCGAACTATCGTTAAATGAACTCATGGCAGAACTTGGATAATCACTGGAAACCAAATTTCTTGCCATCAGTTCTTCCCAAGACCTAACTTCAAGTCAGATGCCTTTCCTTGGACCACATCCCCTTATTTTTATTGTCATTTTATGATCACACCACATTATGAAGACCAGGAGCATATCCTCTCAAAAACAAATCAGAAAAGGGAAAGATCCCTTTCTGCTAAGAAGGCAACTTGGTAGTTGGCAGACTGTCATAGAATCAAAAAGGAAGAAATGAATTGACTTGAACTACCATTACACAAGCTCAAAAGAGATCTTGTGTGCATTCCTCCGAAAAGAGTGCAAACGCCACAGGTCAAAACACAAAATCCAACTTTAAATCAAGTGTTTTATCTTCTTGACCACGTCTTCCTTATTTTGGTTGTTCTCCCATTGGCTATACCACAAGATGAAGATAAAGATGAAGATAAAGATTCATAGCATTTTCCCAAAAGCGAAGAATCCCAAATCCATATAAAATGGAAACTTGGTATCAAATCTGTCTACAATCAACAAACTTTCTGAAAAAGATAGAGGAGGTGCATGGATTTGAACCACTGTTACAAGAACTCACTGTAGGGATGATTGTATGCACTGTCATGACCACAAGAGACCATGGGGTTCACCAGAAGATCACAAAATTATGAAAAGTGTCTTATCTCTCCTGTTTCTACCTATTCATTGGTCAATCAGATATATCTGGATCTATGATTTGGAACTTGAGAATACCTAGCTGGTATACATTTTCTGCAATAGCAGAAAATCTTTCCTTTAAAGAGTACAGTTTCAAGAAAGAAAAAAGATGTGTAGCCAAGTGATGATGTCCCACATTGGTATATATATGTGCAGGTTGTTGTGGGACTTGCATTTTTGAGTATTGCATGTGAGCATGACGAATCTTTTTCATTTGGTGATATACATCAAACAAAGACAAAAATGTATTGAAGTTATTTTTATTCCTAAAATGGAATCCAGCTTTCAGAAATTCAGAAATTCATAAACCATAAGATGGAGATGAATGACAAGTCCTCCAGCTTATTAATGCAACAGAAAAGACAGATGTGATGGTCGAACATTTTTGCTCCTTTGGTCTTGATCAATCATCAGACTGAGCAAAGAACTTAACCACTGTCATTTATAATTCCACATTAAAGTGAAACAAGTCTTTTGATGTAATATGATGTCTTCCCATCTTTGACCTGATATCTCGGGTAATGTGTCACGTGTAAGGGGGATGTTTTTGTTAGCCGAGAGGTTACAGTTGCCCATCACTTGATGAAGACTGGAATATCTTTCATAAAAACTCACTGTTCAATCACAAAGACTGGTGACAGTTTTATATCAATCTAGATGATGGTAGGACACTTGTAATCTGGTAGCTCTTGAATACAACTAACCGATGTGTTGCTATCATTTATGATACTGCATTTCACATGCTGGTTAGGTATGGTGATACTCATACCTCCAGGTAATAATGGGACTACTCCAAAATGCTGTTTATATTTCAAAGATTACCAGTGCATACACCCATTCATGAAATGCTTTGCCAACTTTCAGAGATCAAAAACAATCAAAATTTCCATAAATTCTGTCCGAATTGTATCACTTTATTATTTGATCTGTATTGAATGATTCAATCAAGTTTTAAAGTGTACAAAGAGGGAGCCTGAGAAATATTATCATGTTAAACTTTCACCTTCAGGTTGGTTTATGAACCTGATTACCCACTGGTGGATAGGCATTGCCAGCTAACAAATCAAGAATTGCTCTTGTGCAGTTCTTCATACATCCATGCACTGGCGTTAAACATCCATAATTCCAGTACATACCAGGATCACTCCACAGTCTTAAATATATCTTCCAGTTAATTCCCAGTGACCAATCAAAAGATTGTTGTCGACCATGACTCTACATCTCATTGGGTGACATTTAGAGAATCCCTTGGAAGATCACTTTGAATATGGGTGGGATTCCGAATAGGTCACTTGAAGATTGTATTTTGAAAAACTCTTTCAAGGCACAAGTTTGAAATGGTCATTGAAAGAAGCTATTTGGGGGACTATTTGGAGAATCAGTCTGAAATGGTGGTCATCCATACCTCAAGTGGGACAACTTCAATCTAGCAGCGAGGGTCATTTGGGGACCGTATTCCTTGCCAGGTAAGGGACAATTTAATGCAAGGGATGGGTTAGACTTAGCATGCCATAACGTCAAGCACTAGAAGATTATACAACCAATGGCAGAACCTCACTCAGAACCCTTATCTATTGCCTTCAACTAGCATGTGAGAGAGTTTCACAAAATCCCTCAATATTAAGATTGGGACCACTCAATAATCCTGTATACGGGTATCTTCCAAGTTAATTCACAATAGCCAATCAAAGGGTTGCTGTGGTCCGTAACTCCAGGTCTCCACTATCTCCTCGAGATCCACATCTCCATATGGTCCCTCTTCCAACTCAAATTGACCAACCAAAGGTTGACTATGGCTCCATATCTCCATGTTTCCATGTCCTGATAATCCTGCCAGTGACCATAACCCCACGTCTCCACCTCTCCACCTCTCCACATTATTCCTCTTCCACCTCCAACTGGCCAATCAAAGATTTACTACTATATAGTCCAGTCCATCACTCCATGTATCCAGTAGCTAATACTGCTGGTGCTAGTGACCACAACTCCACCTCTCTCCATCTCTCTCCACCTCTCCATATGCTGGGGTAGTTGTCTATAACTTCACCTAAGAGTGAGAGTACCGCATAATCTCATATCTCTTTTAAAGATATCGTCACCAAAAAACGAAGCAATTATTATTATCATTCTCAACTTCTCATCTCTATGTACTCTATATAATATCTAATCTGACATTGACATCCACAAAACGAAATGACAACCAAAAACAAAAACAAAAACAAAAACAACCACCACCAAGTCTAGCAAAAGCAAAAGTAAAATCCCAAAGAACCAACCCCAAAAGCAAAAAAGCAAAAAAGCAAAAAAGCAAAAAAGCAAAAAGATCTAGGAATAGATAGATTCGAACTACCGACCTCACGCACGCTTGAATAGTCAAGGAATCATATAGCACACGTACATTGTAGTGGTCATCATCCTCTTCCAAACCCGAGGCTTGCGCTCTACCACTGAGCTATATTCCCTTTGTGTTTGTTGTTGATACTGCTCGTGTTATTTGACGATATGGCATTCTCTCTGTCCTTGGGATGCGGGTGGTAGGATGCGGGTGGTAGGATGCGGGTGGTAGGATGCGAAGTTTGGGGGAACTTCTTGGTTGGTGGATTTTTTGATGGGGTGGTTGATGTTGATGCGTGGATGGGTGTCTGGGTAGGTAGGGATTTTAATACCATTATTTTTCGGGATGTTGGATGTTGGATTGAGGGGAAATGGGGTTGTATGGAGAAATGTAGAGTGATAGGTTTTTGTTTATATGTTTAATATGAGTTGTGCGTATTTGAAGATATAGTATTCCCTTAATACTTCGATTGTAGGTCGTTTGCAAAACTTTGGGGACTGAGAATTTTGGCGGGGGTGATTCATCCATGAATGAAATTGTCAACAGCACTTAATTAGGATATCAAATCGACTGAAAATTAATACTACTTATCTGACCACAAAAACAGAGACATCCACTCCTAATAGTTGGCGAGGAATATTAGTTTTGGAGAATAGTTCAATATACAAACCCCCTTTAGCTCGGGCAAGATGTAGACTTGATAATGGTGCGACGGTCATTTCAAATAACGTAGAATAACATTACAGTATGTAACTAACAAGCCCAAAAAACTACCTTGATGTGAATTATACGTGTTTTATGTTTCCTGGTATAGTGTTTATAGAGTTATATTATTGCGCATCCCTATATATTATTGAAACGGCCAATTATATGGGGAAACCGGAGTAATATGATATGATATTAGTGCAACTTGAAATGGCCATCATTTCTTAACCCAAGAAAGATATTTTCCCTCCCCCATGGTCAATCCCCCCCCAAAAAAATCATTTCCAAAAGAGACAAACCAACCGAGCGAATTAAATCCTTCCTCAACTTCCTACATTTTCCAGATATCAACAATTAATTTAATCCAGGGATGAGGAATTGAGAATGAACATCTTGCTAGTAGATATCGATAGATAGATGGGTTATTTAAAAACCCACAAACTCCATGCCGACGAGAACGCCGAGTATCACAAAAAGCTCATATAGTTTAAAAAGAATCGGATAATCTGCATTGAAATAGTAACGTAGCCTCTATCTGCCAAATGTCGAGTATGGTATTTTCGCTTACAGAGAGGGGGGGGGGAATGTTGATTTGGGATGAATGTCCGAGAACCGATGATAGGGACGCAATATTCTGATTTCTGAATAACGAGTATATTTCAAGAGTACTGTACCTGAAGTCCCCATAGAAATTATCAGAGGAGGAAATAAGTATAGACAAACCAAGTGCAGCATCATTAGTATCTAACCTGTACCCAAGGTAACCAGACTCATCCTCGGAAGTCGGTACTCGAGCCACTGGACCTATCTTCGAGTAGGTAAGCAAATGCGAATGAAATCCAGAATCCCGAATTTTCTTACCCAGTTGATAACAAATCATTTACTCACAAATGAAGGTCACGATGATATACCATCTATGGAAATACGATTCGGAAATCGCATTTCGTCCAACAGCAAGGGATCACCGCATGTTGAAAGATAGGTGGGTATTGACTATACTCTTCTTACACTGATTCGAAAAATTGATTTTGGGAATAGAAGTGATGATGGATTTCAAAACGTCACGATCAAACTAAGGTTACTAAACTCATCATGAAATAATACCTAAAAAACGACGTGACATTCATATTCAATCATTCACATCTGCCAACCTCCCTACCATCCTCCCATCACTCCCATCACCTCACCTCAAACCAGCTCAAAATTCAAAATCAAAATGAAAATCCAATTTTCCACAACCTAGCCCATGAAAAAAAAAAACGAAAACGAACAAGAAGTTCCAATTCGCAGTAGTCTCGCTCGCGGCTACAGCAGAACCTCTATATAAGGATGTTTTTTTTAGTGCCAAAATTTAGAATACTAAAGAGGTATTCTTTTATAGAGATTCCGGCTAATCCCGGTGGGGTAGCATTTTGATCTACTTGGTAGGTAATTTAGATCGATTTTGGATATGTGGATCCCGACTAATCCCGATCGGGCATAAACTTAGTATAATTTTCATAAATATTTTATACTTAAAAAAATATCCTTATAAATAAGCTAGATTTCAATTTTGAGACTTAGAAATTTCAAGGATATTTCTAATAGAGAGGATATAGGAATATTAGCATTTTCTATACCTAAAATCCAACGGGACCCAAAATTTAATCCTAATAGAAAGGTTATCCTTATATAGAGGATCCTTATATAGAGGTTCTGCTGTACCTACCTACCTAGGTATTTATCCATCTAAAATAAACGCGACAAAACGATAGCGATTGATACGATAGCGCGCGCATGCGCTTGCGATAAACAAACCAAACATCATCCTAGATCGCAGCCGCCAATTGGAGGTGGAGCTCGAGCGCCCCATCTTTTCCCGACCCATTTTTTTCATCATTTGATTGATAGGTAGGGAATGTGACCTTTCTCATCCGTACCCCTGAAAAGAAGGGTTGCCCACCCACCCACATCCTTGGTTTCGAGAATACGTATGGAAACTAGGTTGGGAATGATCGGTGAATGATAAATTAATTAAATAAAATAAATAAATTGAAATAATCCAGCTACATACATATATACATACATCTTTTGACCATACCACACCACACCACACCACGACACTTCATTGTATTGCTTGCACTCATTATATTGTACAGTACACAACACGTACGCACGTAGGAGAATTGAAAAATCGTGCAGTGTACCTAATTAATAGGAATTTCCCATCATGCCGGCGGTAGCTACATCAACGGCAACGAGTTCGATATCCAATGGATCTGCGAGTTCGCGATCGAGGGTGAACGGGGGAGCAGGGAAAGATGAGGAGGGAGCCCCTCCACCGATGGACGTGAAGGAACATGATTTCTTCTGGACATATACCGAGGAACCCCATCGAAGCAGACGATTAGCTATTATCAAAGCCCACCCGGAGGTAAATCCCCCCTCCCCCCAATCCAATCCAATCCCTCGAAGCCCATCTCCCAAGAAATCGAGAACAAAATCCCAACTAACCCCCTCCCTCCCACCAGGTAACCAAGCTCTGCGGGCCCGAACCCCTCACCAAATACGTGGTGCTCCTCGTCGTCAGCATCCAAATCCTGTGCGCCTGTCTCCTGCGCAACACGCCGTTCCTGTCGTGGAAATTCTTCCTGACGGCCTACATCATCGGCGCCACCGCCAACCAAAACCTGTTCCTCGCCATCCACGAAATCTCGCACAACCTGGCGTTCCGCAGCGCGAATCTGAATCGCGCGCTGGCCATCTTCGCCAACCTGCCCATTGGGATCCCCTATTCCGCTTCGTTTCGTGTACGTTGTCACTTGCATCCATCCATCCATCCATCCATCCATCTGTAACTGGCGGCTCCCGATCCCGGGGGTGTCATTCATCCATAGATATGCTAACGCGAGAATGCCAGCCGTACCATCTAACGCACCATAAATCGCTGGGCGTGGATGGACTCGACACGGACCTGCCCACGCGCTTCGAAGCCCTGTTTCTGGATTCCCTGCTCGGCAAAGCCTTCTTCTGCACCTTCCAAATCCTCTTCTACGCCATCCGACCCATCTTCGTGTACGCGGTCCCTTTCACCTCGATCCACGTCCTCAACATCATCGCGCAGCTCCTCTTCGACATCCTGCTCGTAAAATACACCAACTCCTACCAACCACTCTACTACCTCATCCTCTCCGCCTTTCTCGCCGGATCGCTGCACCCCTGCGCCGGGCACTTCATCGCCGAGCACTACGTCTTCGAGAAACAAGACCACGCAGCGCGGGACCCACAAACGGGCGTGCTGATCCCGGAGACGTTTTCCTACTACGGCCCGCTGAATGTGCTGACCTACAACGTGGGCCTGCACAACGAGCACCACGATTTCCCCGCGGTGCCGTGGACGCGGCTGCCGGCGCTGCACGAGCTGGCCAAGGAATTCTATGCCGAGTTGCCCCGCCACGAGAGCTGGATCTATGTCATCTGGCAGTTTGTGTGGGATGCCGAGGTCGGCATGACGTGTCGGGTGAAGAGGAAGGAGGGCGGCCGCAAGGTCGGCGCGTGGACCCAGCAGGAGGTGCAGGCTTAGGTATCTTATGCATGGCATGGCATTGGGTACCTAGGTGGAATTTGCGTTGCGGTTTGTGTGGTTGCTTCGGGTGCGCAGGGGGGATGTAATGACGATGTGAACTTGTATATGTGAATATGAGATGGGGGTATAGAATGCATTTCCCGGCGCAAGCAGACATGATACATACGTAGCATACACACATGATTTTCAAAGATACACAAGAACGATATCGGATATTTCTTCTCTAGGAGAACTTTGCAATGTGATGGGACTCAGGATTTAAACTTGAGCTTTAATTACCTATCTAGCTATGTATCTCGCTAGCATTTCAGCACTCCCTACGTACATGCCTACTGCATCACTCCCGCTACATACATTTGATACTGTGTATCAAATCAGCCCAACTCAGCCCAGCCAAGTCGAGCTCGACCCAGTCCAGCTCAACGAGTCCCTCTGACCCTTCCACCCTTCCACCCCTTCCTCCTTCCTTCATACATAATTAAGAAGTCAGGCAACGAATCGGCTCTCCAAACGCACACAATCAGGAGCTCACCCCCACAACAAAAGAAAAGCTTGCTTGTCAAATAAAAAACCCGCAAAGAAAGAAGCAATAGAATACAAGGGAAGATATAAGGCAGGTCGTACGGTGGTAATGCAAGAGTTTGCAAAGAGGGAAAGAAAAATAAACCAAGGAGAAGAAAGGAAAATTCTGGGAAAGTTTTCGTAAATTAGAGTTTGTTGTGTTCGTTCGTTCTGATACAAGAGAAGAGGTCTAGAACCCAAGAAACCAGCGCCTAAGAGCTTCAGAACCACTGAAACAATACTTGGGAGCCCGCAAAAGAGCCCAATATCAATTATCTCGCTTCGTATCCGTCATC